TTCTTCCCACCAGATAGCCACAAATCATGAAGCAAAAGCAAAAGAAAAAAACAATTTGCAGCTAGCCGGCCACCGAGTCCTTTCGGTAAAAGAATTCCAAAGTCACGACATGTTCTACGGCTCTAGGTTACGTGTCTTAAATAAACTATGGAAAATGCAATAACTTTCTGAGCTAAAGGTGACATAACTAGTTCCTGAACGTGCACTTTCCAGATGAAAAATATACCGTTGTCGTTCTCTGCCTTTTTCTGACATCTTCAGCAATACCACCATACTTTTATCGCGTGTACCGCTTAGTTGTATCAAATGTAATGATGTCTGTATATAAACGAACTACTATTTTAGAGATCCAATTACCCAAGCTTAAATCTGCGCGAAATATACAGCCATTAATTTACTGGTCCCGCATCGCAAAATAAGCTTTGTTTGTGGAAGTTTCACTGCTAGCAGACTTCTTTATACTTCCAAAGAAAAAATGGAAGGTACGAGAGAACGAGCAGCACTAAAAATAAATCCCTCTTTTCTTTAAACTGCCAGAAACTTAAATCCCTAAATAAAAAAAAAACTAATCTAGATATATAAACAATTTCACCTAGTTAAAATAGATATGACAATTCTAGTGAGTAACATATTCACTCGCTTACGTACCAAATCAAAAAATTTTTACCCTACTCTTAGAACCGTTATTAAGCGTCCCATCCATTTCTTGTAGATTTATAACTCACTTAATAATCAACGATTTCCCATTCAACTGAACTCACTAAGTACTAACCATAAAAAAAGTAATTTCTGCTTTGTTGTTCCACTGCCAATTAGATATAAACCTTCCACCCAAAATTACACCACTTGTAAGCCACAGTTGGTAGTTTAACGTGATATCTAATGATAAACGCCACTCTCGAGAAAGTTCAGTAACACCTTCGACACACAAAAGATCGTATGGACGAAAGGAAGTCATCATAAAACGACGCACGCCTAATCTTTATTGTATAAAAAAATCATGTAATAAACTTCATAAATCGGCAATGACATATGAAAACAAGAAGCATGTTACTTATACCCTGTCTTCTATTTGAAATAGAACTAAAAATTCTCGTAAAATCTTTTCCAAATACTTTTAGAAGGCCCTTCAACCTATTTAATAATAACGTAACTAACCCTCAAATAGCAATTTTTTCCTAGCCAAGAGAGTCTTATAGTAACTTCCTCTCCCATCTAACATACTTCTTAGATAATTGAGAGCCTACTTTGCCGATGCTCCAAACCAACACCACACAATCAAATAACAGTACTTCTGTGTCTTATAGCGGCTCCTCATGCGCCATAACAGTGAAGAAGTGCTTCAGAACAACTAGTATAAATGCTGTCCGAAGGCGAATTAATGACTGCACCTTCATTGTGTGTAGTTTCTTCCTCTATAGCATAGAAAATTTTCTTAGATTGCTAAGTGAATTTCAGTCTAAATATTTCGTATTTATAATTAGTTGCAGCAAATAATAGCGCAACAAAAGCTATTACTAAAATCAACCCTTTGAAAATACAAAGTAGGACCACATCCTTTCAAGTAACTCCTTAGTGAAATAATCTCCCTTTCAAATCACGTAAAAACACACGCTATGAACAAGTAAGAACTCTACTGCGATTCCTCCTTCAGCCTCTTTGTCTAACTCCAAATGTATGAGACAAAAGCCAAACACCAATAAATCTTTATTAGTTTCATGATCATTTAAATGATAAAACCAGCCAACAACATGGCCAATGAATCAAAACCGTTAAGAACGGTAGTCCCCCTTCAGCAAAGAGAGTTACCAATAAAAAATTTATAACTTGTAAGACAAGTAGAAGGCTGGATCTCAGTAACAAGCATATCTGAGAAACAACGATAAGTCGAGTCAATCACACAACCACCATATTATCCTCTAGCCGCAATTAATTTTAAAGAACGCTAAATACAAAAAGTGAAATTCATTCACAGAATGACCCCAGCACTTAATCACCCCCACAAAATCTTCTGAACATGCTCAAATTTTAGCCTTTTTATAAAGGGATCAAGATTATCAATAAAATAAATTCACGTACTCTTCCATCCAAAAACAAAAACTGATAAATACACATAAGGTAGAACTGTTGAATATCTAGCAATAAAAGTGTTCAGTGCCTAAAACCACTGCAACTACAATAGGTGCCAGTTCCTTCTCAGAAAAAAAAAAAGCTACATACAAATTATCTTGCAAAAATAAAACACTTCCCCCTTCGCAGTTTAAAAAACTTCTCGCAGAAGCCCATATTACACCAAAACTCCCAGCCAGAGCGACAACGTTCAAAACGAAGGAATAAAAAAGACGAGGAGAATTCATTGTGAGACAGGAAGACCACAGAGAGTCTGCTGCCCATATTTTTGTAAAAAATTCTTTGAGCTTCCACTGCACGTGACAAATAATGTTCAACATTAAGCCAACAAATAATGAATTGTAAAAAGTAGTTGCCATTGAAATTAGAAAAATATAAAAGCACTGGCACTATTATTATAATTCCATTCCACTCTTTAACTGAAAATTTTTAATTCGGAAACACTCATCACTAAGCATTCCCTTATAGCATTAACCAGTTCATATCTTACTATTGTGTGATTCCTCACTCAAATGCAAAGTAAAAACTAGTAAGTTTCTCAACAAAATATGGTAAAATTCACTCTTTTCCACAAAAAAAAAAAAAAAAAAAAAAAAAAAAAAAA